AATTAAATAAATCAAGCTACAGCCAGCTTAGCAACTGCAAAACAACGTCACCAGGACTGTGCCACTCTCCAGTATCAGCCGACCGCCGAACTCTCAGTTGTCCTTGGGATCGCCGCCACGGACAACGGCATGGGGATGGGGGAGGAGTATGTCAAGTCGAGTGGGCTCGCGGCGGATGGGGGGGATTTTGATGCGTCGCGGCCGGGGGCGGGGAGGGAGGCTGATCGTGAGTGGACTCCGAGCACTGATTTTCTTTGCGGCCTTGTTTTGTTTGGGGGAAGGGTAATGCTAACGAGGTGTGCGTGTAGGTCTGTTAGAGGAGAAGGGCGTGCATCCGCCTGCTACGACGCACCGTGGAACTGATACTAGCAGTGGGAGTCATGGCAGTCATGGCCATGGCGAGAACGGTGGCAAGGAAAAGCTTGGTCTGAAGGACAAGATCAAGGCGAAGCTGCACAAGAGCAGCTCGTCGTCGTAAGAGTTTAATCTAGGAAGGCGGATGAATCATTGGGCTGGTAACAGACTGGATGGGGAGGGATGGAGAATGGTATCACAAATCTTGGTAGATCCCTAAACCACGCGGCAAAGGCTGTAATAATACTGTTCTATTGGTTTTTAACCTTTGAATCACAAAGTTTTACCCTTTTTGTATTGCTGTTTTACTCCACCTGCTGGCTACACATTGTCATGTGATGCTGAGGTTGTGGTTGCGAGGAGGTACCAGACTCTTATCTAGTCAAGCTCAACGTCCTTCCCAGAGCTAACACCAAGCCACTGACGACAGACAACATGAATCTGCGTCTCAGCTCTAAACTTTAAACCAGCCACCTTCCTCCCACCAATTCGACACTCAACTCGATTTCCCGCTCGGAGATAGCCCACCCGCCCACACTCCCGCCCCAGCCGTCAAGAGTTCAGGGGGTAGCACCCGACAAAATACCACCCTCCCCCAAGACTGCGCGGACCCATCCCGATACCACCATCTCCCATATCCTTTCCAAAACCGACCTATATATAGCAACACCCCAATCTACCACCGACCCGGATAATCCCAACCCAATCTTGACCGGTCTGTCCGGCCACGCCAAACCCCCTCCTCCCCGACTGCACTGGATGTCGATCACGATATCACTTATGCTGGCTGCGCGGGGTCGGGCGGTACCTCCGCGTGGATGCGGGACTACAACTATACTGCGGAGACGGGGGAAATAGGGAAAGAGGATAAGCGACGTCGCCGTACCGTATGTACGCAACCCCTCTCCGGGCCCTTCGGCAGCGGTACACCGTTCCATTTGCCCCCTCTTTGCGAGACTTTTGATGAGAAAATCCTTAATATCCGAATGATACCAGCAGAGGGAACAAGAATGTCAGATATTACTCGTGTACTGGGTATGGAGACGAGTCACACGTGTCAAGCAAGGAGCATCGTGCCGCAATCCTTCCCGACCTCCTGCGCCGGGGTGTGAGATATCGGCACATGGCAGAACATGTGTCACGAACCACGGGTTGGGTGGGTAATAAATACTGGGATCGGAGATAAGGGAAGTCTATACACCAAACAGACGGGGTAAGAAATAGCCCTCTGTCCGAGGTTCAGTGATAACAAACAACCGCAAAACAAACACAAAGACCATCACAACATGCCAACAACTAAAACAGAATTGCAAAACGTTCTTTTGATCGCCGTGCCTGTATGTGGATAGGTAAATAAGATACCATATAGCCCATGTGTGTACTGCCTGCCGTCGCCAGACTCTACACCCCCCCGACCATCAATTTCCCGATCATTCCTCATCGCCCACCTCCTCCCGCCCCCCAAGTATTTCGTGACATTCATCAAAATTATCCCCGTAAATCCACCTTGGTATACATCAAAACAAGGTCATCCCAGACCAAAGATAAAAACCCGATTCTGGTTGGGTGAATGTGGTAAATAAAAAGCAAACGTCCGCTATAAATGAAGACAATCGAATAGAGAACAATAAGCGAGCCCTTAGTGGGTAAATTGATTACGCCGGCGGCGTCAAAAAGGGGCTCAGCATGAGGTCATCCGCGCTCGGCCGCTTGTTGTGATCAATCTCGAACGTCTGGGCGAGGAACTGCCGGGCCTCCTTGCTCGCGTTGTCCGGGATGGTCGGCGTGGCTTTGGCGCCACCGATCTTGAAGATGGCCTGCAGCTGCGTGCAGTCCGGGAACGGGTGTTGACCCGTCATCATCTCGACGACTAGGCAGCCTAGGGACCAGATGTCCGCCTTGCGGGTGTACGACGTCTGCTTGACCACCTCGGGCGCCATCCAGAAGACGGAGCCCTGCAGCGAGGGGCGGTGCTTGTTGTTGTTAGCGCCGTTGAGGATGTTGGTCGCCTCGAGCTTCTTGGAGATGCCGAAATCGGAAATCTTGATGGTGCCCTTGTTGTCGACAAGAATGTTGGCACCTTTGATGTCGCGGTGTATAATGTCGCGGTTGTGGAGGTATGAGAGGCCATTGAGAATTTGGCGGACGAAGCTGCGGATGAGGGGCTCCGGGAGGGCACCGTACGAGTTGAGCATGGTCTGTACTGAACCACCGGCAACATACTCGAGGAAAATGTTGAGGTATTCGACCGATGAGCCGCAGCCGAGGTACTGCACGATGTTGGGGTGGCGGAGATCTCGGAGGAGGCTGATTTCGCGCTTCAACGCGTCGATCATGCTCTTCTTCCGCGAGTCGCTCTGGCTGTTAGCGCCTGGCGACGGTGTCTCGACCTGCTTGACAGCGAGGAGCTCGCCGGTGACGGCGTGGAGGGCAAGGTAGACGCTGCCGAAAGAACCTTGACCGATCAGGGAGCCCTTCATCCACTTGCTGTCGTCCCAAGACTCGCCGGCCAAGAAGCTCTGAAGCTCTTCGTCGGCGTCCTCTCCGTCTTCCGTCAGGGCCTGGTTGACATTCTCTAGCGACCCGGAACCACCAGAGCCGATGGTACCCTCGTCGAAGTAGCTGTGTCGAACGTTGCCATCGGGATCGGTGATGCTCAGGGCGGCCGTATCCGAGCCGCTGTCGGCGAAGGAGACGTAGGACTTCCGATTCGGCTCGATAGGCGACGACTCCTCTTGCAAGGTGTCGAGCACGGAGGAGGCGACCGAGTCTCGGTAACCCTGGAAGCGCGGGTCCCGGGCGCGGACCTTGGCGATTTGGTTGGAAGCCGTCAGCCAGCTATCGGCAATAGTCGGGATCGGCGGCGCATCCTGGATGGTGGAGGCGAAGCTCATGGTGCTCGCCACGCTTAGACGGTGATTCACCCTGCTGAGGCGCTGCGACCGCCTCATGGACATGCGGGCTGTCCTGTCAATGGCCTCTCGAGAGTGATCCGGGAAATAGCTGGTCAAGTCCGAGGCAATAAGCTCGCTCGGCGGCCTGAGCCCGCCAAACTGGCGCAGCATGCCTTTGCGACGCGGTACGGCCTGGGCTGTCTCAATGACTGCCGGTCGCTCCAGGTCCCTTGCCGTGTTTGACACGTTTCTTTCTCGGTCTTGGTATGAAACAGGTGAAAGAGGGGGCTGCTGTATGGTCTCCCAGGACTCGCCCAGGAGCTTCTGCGCCTTCATCTGACTGCGCTTCTCCATGCCTTCAATGACGCGGTTGTGATTCTGCTGGGCTTCTTCCATAGCGATGGCAGCAGCTCTCTCGAGTTCTTGCTGCCCAGGTTCCCCGGCAGGCACCCGCCTCAGGATTAGGCGGTTCCGCTCCGGCCGCGTGTGGTCTTTGATGACTCTCCACAGCTCTGTGTCGCCGAGCCGACGGCATTGGTTGGGGTCCGCTTCCACGCCGTTGAGAACCCAGAAGCAGTAGTTTCTCTCATGGTCTTCCCGCAGTGCGAACTTCCGTAGGGTAACGCGCATGACCTCCTCACATGTGTTGCAGCCGGCAATTTTGACAACCTTGGTTCCGCCGCCCGTCGAAATCACGCGGATAACATCTTGGCCCGGAGGCAACGCAGCCATCAGTGAACCATCCATACTGGACTGGTTTCTTTGATGAAAGCGGCCGGAGTGGGGCTGATCGGGCGGGGACATGGGAAACCTCGCGGATGCGGGTGTTGGCTGGCCGGCGAAGGTTTGAGGTTGCGGGTATCGTTGTTGGCGGGCCCTGAAATCAGCGCTCGGAAGAGGGGAACTTGGTCTCGACGATGGCTTGGAGAGGTCGGGAACAGCGGTTGGGAGATCGTATTGCCGCGAGTATCGCTTGTTGGAAGGTGTCGGAGGCACCGCGCGGCCACCCGAAGGCCGAGGTGAGGATGGCACATAGTGCATATCAAGCCCAGCAAAGGATTCCTAAGGTGGCACAATATCAGTTCTCACGCCCAAGCACGGCTCTTTGAGATAGATGGCTTACCCTGTTGCGTCTCTTTTGGTTGGCGTAGGTTTTTGTCCGCAGCTTCTTGATGCCTAAGAAGAGGCGCACTCGGTCTCCAACCTTGTCGACGCCCATCTCCTTGAGAACTTCCTTGTCTATTTCCAAGAGGTTCTCGCCATTGATGTGATTCCTGCGAAATACCTTCTCGTACTCGCCGCACTTGACGCTCCGTAGATATTCGCATACTCGATCTTCATCCCAGTTCTTGACGGAATCGGGGCCGTCTGCCTCGTCGAACTCGGATTCGGTCGGGCTGGCATAATTCTGCGAGGCCATCGGGGCCGCAGGTGCTCGTCTCGGGGGTGCGTATGCCGATTGGGACCCGGTCGCGACGATGCCAGAAGGTTGCGACCCGAGCGCGGTCGGGTACGTTTTGGAGGCCAACATTGCCATGGCACCTCGCTATCTATGCTGGACTACTGCATACAGGTCGGTGTGTCTCGCTGCAGGGCTGGAATAGATATAGGTGACGGAAGGATGCGGAGGCGAGCACCGCGTGGCGAAGAACGACGGGCCAAAGCAGGGTCAGGTCTGCAAACAAGGTCGCCCAAGGCTCTTGTTGCGTTTGTGGAATTTTTCCCCGGATTTCCGTGCGATGCAGAAGCGGCTGCAGCAAATTCCACCGTTCGGTCAGACAAAGCCAGAATACGGACGGATACCGGAGTTGTGTTCAACACGCCGTGTTGTGCAACACAGCGAGTGCTGCCTGCTGGCTTCCAGGTTACCGAGGTGAGAGGGTGAGATGGGGGCGAAAGAAGTGAAGTTGTAGAGGGAACAGCCCAGCAAGCGGCGTCGTCGGTCACTGACACGCTCTCATGAGGGATTCAACTGAGGATGACCTGAGTGGGTCGGCCCCCAGGGGATGCGAGGGCAGCGCTAATTCAGGCTGATGGGGGGTTGGCTCTGGCGCAGCAGTCTTCTTTGGGGGGGAGACAGAAGTGAGGGGCATACAGAGCGGGTGGATTCGGATTGGACAGGTTCGCCAATCGCTTGAGGCTCCTCCCCTGAGATGAAACCAAGCACGGGCCAACGCAGGCGCTTGCTCGCTGGCAGGTACCGTGGATGCCCAGGATTACAGATCGGAAATCTAGCTCGTCTCAAAATAAATCACAGGAGCATTTGTTGGTTATGAGAGAGCTTTGTCTCCTCATCGTCAGCGGCAGCGAGGATGATGTGTCGCATCTCAGCGAAACCGCTTTGTCACGTTTGGCCACTCGGCGCTAAATCCATCACTTCTGGCATACCGACGACACAAAAAAGGATCTGGCTTTGCTGCCGGTACTGTGCCTCCTGCGTGTCTCACCGGTCGAGGGGATTTCGTTCGTCGGGCCCTCTTGGGTTGGAGGTCGGCGACTCTCCAAGCCCGAGACTGGTGTTGACAAAAGTCGGTGGATGCCGACGTCCTTGGCAATTCAGCTGTGCCTCTGGCCCGTGGGGCCGATGAGCCAGCAGCCCGGAGCACCCGGGACCTTGTTGACAGTCAGTGGGACAAACCATCTCGGAGGATGAAAACAAAAAGCGTGGGAGCCAATGGTCGCGGGGTCAGGTATCACCACGCGGGACAAAGCAGAGTCGGGTTGAGCAAAAGCGGGCCAGATTTTGGTGATGAAACGGGAGCTGTTTCATCAGCGACGAATGACAGGGAGTGGTCAAGATCGGCTTGTTAGTGGGAGCGCCAGATTTCCGGTGCGTCACTAACAATTCGTCACCACCAAGCATGCATTGACCAGCGGCAAATGAAGTCATTGACTAAACACATTGAAGCGGCCTGTGGGTGCGCCCATCAACGGTTCCGACTTCCCGTCTCCGTCTCCCGAGGGCCGTGGCCGAGAATGGCTGATTGATCCAACGAGCTGCGCCGTCAAGCTTGGGTGTTGTGCATGGTCGGGAATGATAACCGGGTTGGTCGTCCGAGGTGTCGGCAATGAAGCTCAACAACTGGCTTGGCTGTCAACTTGTCAACTATCAACCACCACATCAAACCAACTAGGCAGACTGGCTTTGTCTGTTTCCCTGTCTCGATGGGCTCCTCCTTATGCGATGCTGACCGTATTTTCGGCCCACTCGAGCAAGCCGAGATGCTGGGCCACAAGCCTCGGCGGCGAGGACCAGGCTTGTCAAAAAACCGCGCGGCTGTCAAGCCACCCCTGACTGGTCTCCCGGCTCGAATGCCCCTTTTCCTCTCTTTAGGATTGGAAAACCGATTTTGTGACGAGCGAGGCAAAGATACGAATAGGGTTGATTAATGCCCCTTTGGGACGGACGGCCGGCGGCTGCAACCTGAAACAAGCAGGTCCTGCCAGCCGTTGTCGGGTTGCGAGCTGTCGAGTTGGGGAAAAGCAGCCGAGGAGTCTATCTCAACATGTCACCCCAATATGAAAAAGGAGACCCAGGCGGAGATGACGTATCATCTCTTCGATATCTGTTCTTAAGGAACTTTGACCAGTAGCTTTGCTCTCGTGCTGCACCATGCCCGAGGAGAACCTGAGTTCCAAGTCAGCCTGGAACTCACTGCCTGTCAACTGGTGCATCAATAAGTTGGGGCCTATCATAACCGAAATGGGCACAAAATATATGCCACAATTTAGCCACACTTGCCACAGCATTGAAAGCTTACGCCACATCTCGGGTCAGACCCCGCTGGGTGATTGCTTGGCAGAACTTCCACTGCCACGATTTCTTCTCCACCTTCATTCAGCTTTGATCTCGATTGCACCCCCCAGTCCGGCTGAGAAGTTCTGCTTTTGTCTTTTCTGCGCGGCATGTCGGGTGCAATGACAGATGAAATGGCAGACACGTGCTGTCAAACGCTTCCCCCAATCATTCGTCCATCCTCTTATCTTCGAATTGAAATGTTGAATAATTTTCAAAGCTCAATAAGTTCAAAAGAGGCAGTACGCTGGTTGGCTAAAAAAGATGGAAACACGTCTTGCAATTGTTGTCGTGGGGCAGCACGTGGATGGCTAGAACTCATCCAAATGACACAGGGATATCAACAGGGAACGAAGATGCAGTCAACACGTTTCCGGCGGTGTTGCTGATCGACGAAGCCGGTGGAAGCCTCATCCGGTTCTTGCACCCGCGCAGAGAACAGCTTGGCTTCCCACTGCTTCCCCACCGGAGAACCTTCTGACGGGACCGATTGGCAGACTGGGATCACAGACAGGGATACTGGCACAGACTGTTCGAGGCTGCTCGGGCCTGGGCCCCTGTTTGCAAGGGTTCTCAACAAGTCGTTCATTGGGCAATAATTCTCCCAGAACCGGAAAGGAAGACATCATCCTGCATCAACAGACAGAGCATTGTCTCCGCCCTGATTCCAGCCCTGGATCGACAAGCACGAAGCTGGCGAGCGAGATGGCAGGATGGTCCCCGCTCCTGGTCTACCCCATCTCCCGCCTGCCCACCCATGCGGCTGGTAATACGAAGAAGTATCCGTCGCTGGCTGGCGCAAGTTCCTTCATTTGAAGAAAACAATGCACACTGAGTCAAGCTGTCCTCGCTTCTCCCTTTTTTCCTGCTGCGTGGAGTGGGATCAATTGTCTTGCCCTAGCTGTCTAGGCTCCGTTTGATCAGGGACACACACATATTCACATTGTGGCCCCTTGCTTTGTTGATGTTTCTCATGTTCACTGAGGAGTGACGCCAGATACCTCGGCTGTTTGTTGTGTGGTCACATCTTCTCGTGTTGATGGTTGGACCCCCCCCCCCCCACACACACGACCGTCAACTCGACATCGACATCTACATTGGGATTGGGGAGAAGCGGCAGCGAGCGAGTGGCATGCACATACACATACCATACTGTGTTGTGTGTGCGTGAGCTCCGGCCTACTTTAGACTAGCTGCAAAACATCTCAGCAGCCAATTCGTGGCCTCGTACATTGCAGTCGTCAACAGTCACCAACACACGCCGAGATAGACAACCGGTTGCCCCTCGTGTGACGAAGACCCCCGTCTGCAGAGCGGTGTCTCTCGATTAGATCCGCTTTTCCGCCTTTTCTGGCTTTTGTGCCTTCTCGAACCCCAGAACCCCCCGAACTCGCTTGAACCTCAAACGCACATCATTGTGAATCGGCCGCACATGGTATGATGTCAAAGGCAATGGCTGTCCCGGACCTACTGGTCAAGAAAAGACCCACCCCGGGAGGCGTAACCATCTCCAAATCCGATAGCTTCGATTCCAATGCTAGTCCTTCGACCCCGGACCCGAATTCCCCAGCGAGCTTCGACAGCGGCCATCGATCCTTCTCCATCAGTTCCATCAAAGGCCGGGCATGGCGCTCGTTCAGCTCCAAGGAGAAGGGTGGAACGCCCGACGCAGGCCATAGTTTTCGCACCCACGCCCGGAGGCTTTCCAAGTCGAGACCCATTTCTTCTTCGTCACATACCGATGGCCCCAGTCGCCGGGGCTCGACCGTTTCCGACGATCATAGCCGCTTATCGCTGTCAACCGCCGATAGTCTCAGCCTAGTCAACGCGAGCTCGGCTTCTTCGTCGGTCGACTGGAGTGCCCAGCATGTCGAGGGATTCGCCGCCCTCGAGTCCGATACCCTCCTTCTAAAAACAAAAACAAAGACACCCTACCTCGTCGTCACGACCAACTACCTGCTTAAGACCAAGAGTCGCGCTGATGCCGTGGCGCTCATCCCGGGGTTGGCGGCGGAAGGGAGCAAGCCCGAAAGCAGTGGCTCAGGCCCCGAGCCGCTGCTGGTCATCCCAACGGACGCAATCGTGTCGGTGTTTGCAGCCGAGAGCACGCGACCATCGTTCGGCATCGAAGTGTGGTGGAGGAGCCCGCTAGCTGGCCACTCGTTTTGTCGGTCGGATTTCTTCTTCACGGATCCCACCCAGCGGAACGAGCAGTTGCACCATATCACCCGTTCCATGCGGGCCGGCCAACAACAAGATGAGGATGGAGCTGCTCGCCATTCCCAGGACGTCAAGGCGGTGATCAAAAAGATCCACGAGGTCGAAGAGCCTCGGTTCCACCACTGGAAACCCGAAATCATTCCTGTCGTGCCGCGTGGTGCTACGAGGAGGGGGTACATGCCCAAGCTCGAGGATGCAACGAAAAAGTCTCAGGAAGGCCCCGCGTTCTACCTCGTTGTCGGCACCTACCTCTGCCATCTCGTCGAGGTCCAGAAAGGGAAGGGCGGGGACGCAGTTTGTCGGCACAAGTCCTACGGCCTGGTGACGCTGGAGAGCTTCAAAGGGGAGTGGGTTATGCACGAAGAGCGGTTCAACATCACCTTCCGGTAAGATATCTTGGAGAGTACAAACCGCATCATCTTTGGCAGAGCTAACAATACCCCAGCGAACCGTTCAAGAGCCCCGTCGCCCTCGAGCTAGCCAGCCGCTACTACCGACACATCATCCGCGTCTTCGGCACCTCAGATCGTTTTCTCAAGCCTGCCTGGCCGCAGCTATGGCAGAGCATGGAGATCTTCCACGTCTCGGGTTTGAAAGAGCCGCAGTACCTCGTGCCCAAGGAAGATTTTGGAAGCTTCAAGCGGACCCTCGACGGGTACCTTGCGGCGTACCACTGCCAGGATGTCGATTGGGAGATCAACTGGAAGACCCGGTTCGCCCCCGAGTTCCGGCTGCTGCCCGGGAAGCGCGGGCCATACTCCTCCCTGCAGCTTCTCGCTGTCCTCCGCGCGCTGCGGTACAACGACTATTTTACGTCGTTGTCCTTCCGGGACGTCGACTTGTCGGTGCTGCATGGCCTTCAGGACAACACCCTTAGGAAGGTGAATGTTGCGTACCTGAGCCGTACTTGTAAGTTATTGGTGTCATTTTCATAAAGCTCGCCGTGTGTGTGCTGTGCGTGCTGACTCTTCGCAGGCGTGGCCCTTGGCCCTGACGAGATCGAGACGCTGAGGGTCAGCCCCGTGCTGCACCAAGAGTTCCACGCCCTCGCCTTCTGTTCCGAGAAGATTCGGCAGATCGACTTTGGGAACTGCAGCCGGTCCCTCTCTTCACGAATGGCGCAATACAACAACCAGCCCCAAAGTCTCCAGTTTCTCGCCCCCATTTTGAGCTTGCTGAGGTCGGGTATCACCAAGTGCAACCGCCTGATCGTCAGCGGGAATACCTTGCCTCCGTCCGATGTTGAGGACCTTGGTAAGCAACCCCAACTCCTCCCCTGGACTTCAGCTGCATGTCTAACCTCCCACAGCCGAGACGATGAAGTGCGGGACAATCCAAGCCCTCGACGTGTCCTATTGCGGCCTCGACGACGCCAGCTTGCGAGAGGTGATTGTTGACCCGCTCTCCGACTGCCCGGGGCTCCTGCAGACACTGTCCATATCTGGAAATCCTGGCCGGCTTCCAGCGCACATTCTGCCCGGCTTGTTTCGATACCTCACCGAGATCCGGGAGTTGAACCTGAGCGGCAGTATCCAGGCCGAAAGCTTTATCGAGGGCTCGCTGCTCCCCTTCACCGCCCTCGAGTCGATGGAGAGGCTCGAGGAGCTTGACGTCTCGGGTTATAAGGTCAGTCAGGACTTGTGTTGTCCCCCAGCCGTGAAGTTATTTCCCACAACTAACCACCTCCCAGCTCGACGACGCCACCTCCCACGACCTCGAGCGATTCTTGCAGTACCGAAACTGGCGGGCCGACCAGGGCCAGCCCCTGCGCTTCCACAAGCTCGTCCTCAACCACTGCCGCATCACGGGCACGCAAGCAGCCCGCCTCTTCCACGCCATCGGCGAGAACCGCGGCATGCACCTCTGCCTCAGCGGAAACCCCATCGAAGACGGCATCGAAGACCTCGCCGCCGCCATCACCTCCAACCAAGGCCCCGCCGGCCTCTACCTCGAGATGATCGAGTTCAAGCACGAGGCTAACTACCTCACGCTCCTCGAAGCGCTCACCACCACCCGACACCTCACCCTCCTCAGCCTGGCTGGGCACCGCCCCCTCCCCAGACTCCCCCGGCCCCTGCAGTGACGCGCTCATCATGACACTCCACAACCTCCTCTCCAACAACACCTCCCTCCTCAGCCTCGACCTCTCCGGCTTCTCAGGAAAGCTCGACGACGGTCAACTGCCCCCCGGCGCGGGCCGCGCCCTCTCCGGGCTCGCCACCAACACCACCCTCACCCACCTCCGCATCCGCAACCAGAACCTGCACTCGGACGCCGGCGTCCTCGGCCGCGCCCTCGCCCTCAACTCCACCCTGCGCGCGCTCGACTGCCGTGGCAACGGGCTCAACCTGACCAGCCTGCGCTTCCTGGTCGATTCCCTGGCGGCGCCCACCAGCGCCATCACCGAGTTCCCCTGCCCGGCCGACGAGCGCGCCGCCGTGTGGCGCACGGTGTTGAGGGGCTTGCAGCGCACGCCGTCGTCGGCGGCGGTGTCGGCGCTGGGGACGGTGAGTGCGGCGGCCGCGGCGAGTGCGGGGGCGGCGGTGGCGGTGAGGGATTTGTTGAAGGGGGAGGAGGTGTTGTTGAGGGGGGTGCTGGATGGGTTGTGGGAGAGGTTGGAGGGGTGTTTGAGGGAGAATCGGAGGAAGTTGGGGGTTGTGGTGGATGGGAATATGGCCGCTGGTGGTGCGCAGCAGGGGTATAGGCATCGGCATCGGCGGAGTAGCAGTGCGGGGTTGGGTGGTGGTGGTGGCGGTGTGTTCCCCGGGGAGGAGGAGTGGTCGGGTTTTGACGTGGTTGCTGATACCGGCGTAGGTTTGGGTATTGGGACGGGAGGAAGCGGCGCGCCTAGCAGGTGGCCGAGCACCGACTCGGAACCGGGCAGCAGCAGCGGCAACAGCAGCGGCGTGCCCAAGCCCACGGTGCGCATCTCGATGGCGGGGGAGGGCGGGATCGTATAGATATCAGCTTGGCGGTGGCAACAGTGGCAGTGCCGGCAACTATGGCTACGGCGGTTATGGCGGCGGAATGGCCGGTAGCTTGGAGAGCCCGACCGAGACGCTGGATCCCGTGTCGGAGATCGAGACGCCTGCGGAGGGCCAGGGACGGGACCAGGCGCAAGTGCGCGTGGTGGTCGGGGAGGCAGACCAGGAAGAAGTGGAAGGGGATGACCTGTTCCGCAAGATGGTGGACGATTTCCGGAAGGCGGGGTTTGAGGTTTAGCATGCCATGGCGTGCACCTCACCGCGGTGATTCGGTATATTTGTCAACAGGACGTGTTGTCTTGTAATAATATGTATCAGTATAAAAGGGCTGGGACGGGAAGGGATTGGCGTTTGCTAGGGGATGCAGTCAGTGTCGAGATACCCATAGATAAAAGAATCCAAGTGAAATTAAGTTACTGGGGTCTCCTATTGATGAGAAGCGCGACTAAGGGAGGGAGTAAATAGGGACAGTCCATGATTCACGGGCTGCTGCGCTTATCAACAAGCAGTATGCTGTCGCCATAATAACGAAGGAAACAGCGAACGCCTTCCCTGGGCTCAAGTAAGGCAACAAGAAGGGTGTAGCTATACACACAGTGTTTGTTGAGACTAAAGTTGGGTATCTCTAATACAGAATTCACTCTCCGGCCCACGCCAGCCATTAAAAGACTCTGTTTTCCGTAATCTAACACATCCGCCCATCCTTTCCCCGGCTTCTTCACAGTCCGAATTGATCAATGTCCAGGCTTCGGGGGTGCCACTAGCCGGTGTCGTGATGGCGCTCCCCTTGACGGCAATCCCGCCCTCGGGACCCTCAATCCACACGTCCCACCTGAGCTGGCCGATTTCTTCCGTATTTATTCTGCGTAGGCACACTTTCATATCTTCGTTCACATACAGCGGTGCGAGGTTGCGGTAGCTGAGCGACTTGACGTAGGGCATGGACTGCCCCTCTGGCAGGGCACCCGTCGAGGGCTGCCCGGACAGCTTCGCCAAACACGCCCGCAGCGCCGAGAGCATGAGCACCAGAGTCAGGGGCCCGTGAACAAGCAGGCCCTTGTAGCCCTCCTGGTTACGGGCATAGTCCGGGTCGATATGGATGGAGTGGGCGTTGTAGGTGAGCGCGCTAAAGTGGAAGAGCAGCGTTGCGTCAGGGCGGAGAGAGAAGGTAAACTCGGGGGTCGCATAGGCTATTTTGCCAGTCAGCGAGATCATTCCCGGTCACCTACCCAGACAGACCGCCAGCATGAATGAGAAAGAAAGAAATATATAAAAAAAAAAAAAAAAAAAGAAAAAGACCAACAAACCTCTAACAACCCTCCCCCCCTCCACCACCCCCCCAACCCTCTCCCTCATAAAAACCAACCTCCTCACCTCCTCCACCACCACCTCCCTCCCCACCCCACCCAACCCATACCCCCTCCTCACCTCCACAAAAACCTTCTCATCCCCCTCCACCCCCTTCAAGACGGGCCCATCCACCTCCTCCACGCACAGCGCAGCCCGACCATACAGACACAGATGGAGGTCCCAGCCTTCACAGAACACCACCTCCCCACCGGCCCACATGCGGAGCACGATGGGCGCGCCGGGCCTGTGGGCCGGGTCGGTGCCGTCGGGCATCAGCTGCGACGGCGGAAGCTGCAGCGGGAAGTAAACGAGGTGGTGGCCCTGCGGGAGGGTGGCGGGCCGCTCTTGTTCACGGGGCCCTGTGCTCGTTGCTGTGCTTGTTCCTGGCGGGAAGAGCGCCGGGACGTGGTCTGCTAGGGAGAGGGTCAGGAGGTGGGAGGGTGTGGGGGAGAGGGTGTCGTGGATGAGGGTGGGGGGTTGGGAGGCGAATTTCTGGCGGGCGGTGTGGAGGTAGGTTTGGGGGCTGAAGGGTATGGGTGAGGAGGAGGAGGAGTAAGAGGCGGTATGGTGGATGGGTTGGATGGGGTTGGTTTTGATGCATGCGAGAGGGAAGTGGGTGAGCTTGGTGAGGTGTGGCCTATGCCGCCGAAGGGGGAGAGAGGCAATCAAGAGTCGCATTTGTTGTTGGTATTCACCACAATGTAGATAAATTGTGTAAATGTGGGCGGAGTTATGTGTGTGGTTGTCGAGAGTGAGTTGGGAAAGATAGGTAGCCATCGGTTCTTGTCGATGGTTGAGACTGAATTAAATAGGGTTAGGGTTTAACTAGTTGCTCTCTGTTTATTTGCATGCCTTCCTAATATGGACTCTGTTCTCTCACTTAGGAGATTAAGAAATAATGAATGTATAACGACAATTGGTTTACTTAGTCCTCTCCTATAACCTTTGTACTAGCTGAGTTGAGGGCTATCTACCTAAAGTAAAAAAAGTAAAAAAAACTTTTTCTGAAAAGAAAACTTAGCAACGAGCATCCTTTCTCATTTATACATCAGGAGTCAATCATTACAATACCAATAAACATATAAATGATGAATAAATAACTAGTTAGGATAGCCGACGAAGACCCCCCAGCCCTCTTATTTACCGACAAAGCTCTGATGAGACACGAAGGTCTTACAAAGGCGCAGAGCTCCCTCCTTTCCCAGGCCCGTATCGGGGATATAGGCCTCCGGGACTACCTGTTCAGGGTGAAAGTCCCGGAGGTCCGTACCCCCTATTGCGAGTGCGGGAGGGGCAGGGAGACAGTGGAGCACTTGGTGGTTTGGTGCCCCGACCCGCCGTTACAAAGGCCGTGGGACGGCAGAGAGATTCGGTCACATCGGGACCTACAAACCGTATTACGGGGAGTAGGTGCCCGGAGCAGAAGATTTGTTAGGAAGGTCCTTGGCTGGCTGATGGACTCTGGCCGGCTACTGGAGTATAGGCTGGCCAGAAGGCTGGAGCTAGAAACAGTGGATGGGGAGGGCTAGAGGGCCCGGAGGCCGGCAAAGGGCCTCCTTTCTTTTGCAGTATGACGGATTCATAGATTGTTGTCTCAAAGTGGTAGACAGAGGTTTTTATCCGGCCTATACGGCACGGTTTCCTTTGTAAATAGCAGTAGAAGGACCGGCGCGCCCCAGGGCATATCGGTGTAGGAAATAATAATAAAATAACTAGTTAAAAAAAGAAAAATAGCAAAAGTTCGCCTGCCACCCCAGAGGGGCGGCGGCTACGAAACCCTCGTTGAGGGTTTACACCTTTCTAACCTGGGGCCCCAGCTTAGAAAGGCTATCTCCGGGCAGGAGTTACTCATGACCTCGAGGGAGGACACCGCGAAGCCTCGACCACTTGGCCAAATGCTGGGCGGTTGTCCTCGTTGGAAATGGGCGTGCTGGATGTAATACATATACCCAGTCTGAGCGTGTGGGGCGAGTACCTTCCAGCAACAGGCAACCATTCTCCAAGCTTCACCTCCTGAGGGCTCAAGGGCATGGTGCTCTGCAGGTTTGGTGTTTCCATGCCGGATAACATGCGATTTTCGTAACAATCAATAGACAAACCCACGTGAGGATGCTCGCGAATTCCGAGCCAGCATGGTGTTTTCCTATCCCACAACTCCAGATTAACAGCCGTTCAATCAACTGTTTATCAGCCCTTTCACAACCCCAACCTTCCAAACAATCACCATCTTTTCCCAACTACAAGCAACCCAACACATCACCTCCTCCCCCTCCGGTTCCGCCAACTTCCCAACCACCGCCACCGCTCAGCAACCCTCTCCAAATCCTCAAACACACCACTGACCCTCCCCTCGGGGTCATCAAACCGGCTCCCCTCAAACTCCACAAAGAACAAATACTGAAACGGTCCCACCAAACTCGGCACGCTGCTAATGCTCGTCAAGTTCAACCCACGCGCTCCAAAACAAGCCAACGCATCGGCCAGCGCCCCCGGCCGCCGATGGGGCACCGTAAACGACACCAGCGACTTGTACTTGCCACCGCCATACACATCCCCATCCCCGTCCCCATCCCCATCATCCCCCTCCTTCCCCCCCCTTCCCCCCCCCTCCCCACCTTCCCCCCGCTTTCCTCCTCATCACAAAAAACCTCGTCGTATTATCCTCCCGATCCTCCACCCACCTCGCAAGCACCTGCGAA